TGTCGATCGGTAAAGATATTTAGTTCTGATAAGAACTTGTCCTGCTTTTGATTAACTTTCGCAAGGTAGTTCTGACAAGAACAGGCCTGCTTTAAGCTCCAAAAAAAACTTGTCTTTGGTCTCAACGTTTCGACAAGCCTGCTCTAGTCATCGTCAGGAGATGTCTTACAGGTTTTGTTTGTTCACACCCATTATGTCCGTTCGGTCGATTACGTCCGACAACAGATTTTGACGAGCGACGGCCGATTGTGTCCGACCCATTATGTCCGACAGCTGATTATGTCCAACCCATTATGCTCGACGGCCGATTATGTCCGACCCGGCATTGTGTCCGACGTCCGATTATGTCCGACGTCCGATTATGTTCGACCCATCATGTCGAACGGCCGATTATGTCCGACCCATTGTGTCCAACGTCCGATTATGTCCGACTCATTACGTCCGAAGGCGATTATCTCCGACCCATTGTGTCCGACTGATTATGTCCGACCAATTGTGTCCAACGGCCGATTATGTCCGACCCATTGTTTCCGACAGCCGATTATGTCCGACGGCCGATTAAGTCCGACTCATTTTGTCCGACGGCGATAATGTCCGACCCATTGTGTCCGACGGACGACCACGGTGGTGCTGGCTCATCGCGGCGAATAGTCCGTGGGACGAGGACTTTTTTTTTCGCTCGCCACGCGGTCTTGCTTGCCGAATTTTATAAAACTTCACAGACACGTAGATTATGGTGTAACATATCGAACAAACTTTGTTCCCCGATCCACAGTTTGTTTGAGAATGAGAAAATTTGGGATAAAAACGCTTAAAATTCTACATGAGGGAAAACATAAGAAATAGCGCCCTCTGTCGATATAGCCAGAAAGCTAGTTTCTCACGCTATGGCCGTCCGAGTTCGGACGGTCTGTTTTTGACGCGAGTATTTTCATTGTTCTCGCCCTCGAACGGCGGGAACACGACCCACGAACACTGCACTCGGAACAAGATCTTTTGCAAGAATGATATACCCGTGTCAAGAACAAAACCCGCCCGAACTTGGCCAATGAGTGCTTGCTAGTTGCTAGATGATTCTTCTTTTATATTATATTCTAGATTTTTTTTAATTTCTCATCGGGATGGCAAAATATCTTCGTTTCAGTTTTGTCGAACATTAATTGATCAAGTTTTAAATTTACGATCTAATGTTACAAAAACATCGATTGGTGTGATTAAACCCAAGATCAGAATAATTTTGTGAACTCGTATCTCAGGGTAACATATTTTCAACAATAAAAGAAGTGTGTGGCATCTGGTTGAGCAACTGAACTTCTGAAACATCTTTTAAAAAGTGTTATGCCTGAAATTAAAAAAAAAGCAATACAAATTTGATGCAGCCTCACAAAATGAAGCGGGTAGGCCATTGGGGTTTATTGTGGTTTTCACGGAATGGATGGAGCAACAACAAAACATGAATCAGTTCTTAAAACAATATTCAAAATAATAAAATGAGACGGTTTCAGCTGAAACAAATTGCAGTTGTAATGCTGCCACTCAAAGCTTCCAAATAAGGGAATATAAATTATTTTTCTCTTCTTAAAAAAGTTTGCAAACAGAAAGTGAGTCCTGCAATTTGATGAGACTTTTGATGCATGTTGCAACAATTATGTAATCGGCCTGCGATGTATACAGGTGCTCATATCAGTTGAAAATAAACGAGTAACTTCATTCAGTACAGATTGAACAAACTTATGTCATCTAAATACCATTCTTCTTGTGTGGGTAAAAACTGTGACGGTAAAAATTGCACCCCCCTCCCACAAAAATAAATAAATAAATAAATGAAATAAAATTAGATTATATTGAATATATTTGTATTTCTTTTGTGATTACTTAAACCACATTGCGCCTGGAATGTGAAAAAATACCAAAACAGTATTTGCAGTTATTGCCGTCTTTATTTTTGTGAGTCATTTTTTTTTTATAAAAGTGTAATCAAAAATCAAATGAGTGCATGTATGAGAGCTTGAGATGTCATTTTTGAGTGGTTTTGTAATAAGACGCTTCAACTTATTTGATACATGTATATAATCCCTTATTCAAATTCTGCGTTACTGCTATTGAAAGGGGGGAGTCTCAAATTAGGTTTCGCCCTTCACCGACGTTTAAACACTGTATACTCAGTGTGTTACCTCCCGAGTGAAAGTTGGAAAAAATCACTCGCGGGGGACTCGAACCCACGACCTTAATTTGATTTGTATCACCTCGGCGCAAAAAAAATCCATCTTATAATAGTTTATGCGGTACCCGCTGCTATGTACATCAGATTCGAACCGGCCAACTGATCCCGTTAGCTCGGTGGTCGAGTGGTAAGACGTCTACACTGGAGGGCAGGAGGTCGTGGGTTCGAGTCCCACCCGAGTGATTTTTTTCCAACTTTCACTCGGGTATACAGTGTTTAAACGTCGGTGAAAGGCAAAACCTAATTTGATTTGTATCACCCCGTCGCAAAAAAAAACAAAACAAAAAAAACCCATCTTATAAGGGGGAGTCTGTTTAAAAAAAACTTCAATTATAGCAATTTTTCCTTAAGACAAACTAAAAGATGTTACCCTGAGATTTTCATCTGGGGTACGGTTTAACTATAATGTAGTTAATACATAGCATTCGATCTTAAAACTTGATCATTTCAAGTTGGATAAACTGTAATGTAAAGGGTTTGGCATCCTGATGAGAAATAATAACACAAATCTAGAATATGCATGTAATATGAAACTTGAAAGAAGTATCACCTGGCAAGCACTCATTGCGTTTCGTCCTGTTTGCAGGGCGGGGGGTACAAGCGAATCATTGCGTGCGAAAAGGTTTCTAACTGTGTCAATAAAGGGCGCTGTTTCTTATGTTTTTTTTCTCATGCAGAATTTTCGGAGTTTTTATCCCAGATTTTCTCATTCCCAAACAAACTGTGGATCGGGGAACAAAGTTTTTTCGCTTTTATTACATCATAATCTACGTGTCTGGGAAGTTTTATAAAATTCGGTGGACCAGATGGAGTATCTCGAGAACTGCGGCGTTTTCGGCCTCTCGCCCACGGACTAGAAGGGTCAAGCTAAAAGAAACTTGTTTAATGAGTACGCGATCGCCCGCTGCAAGAGGGCGCTGCCTACGGCACGCAAAAATTACAATTTAACCCCAAACACAGAAGGCTAGAACGCTATTTCAATAGATATTTGTATGTCTAATATTCTGAAAGAGATATCTCTATCTCTCAAATAGAGGCCTCTATTGTTTCTAGTCTCCGATGCCGTTTCAACTGCATATCATTGGTAATACATGTATCTTTTCTTCGATCTCGACTTGTCATACATGTATCTCTTTCTACATCAAAAGTTTAACGGCAATTTGACACGTCTGGAAATGCATATATCTTTACAGAAAATAGATATATTATGATTAGATAATTGATTTCGGGATTATATTTTACATTTGCGCGACAGTATTTCAAGATGAATCATATTTTATCCACGAACCGTGGGGAAACAAATGGATAGAAACAAGGGGCGGGGAGACAAGTTTGGCAATTACCACAAAAGGGACATTTTCAGAATTGTTCACGGTAGTTTTACGCGCGCACTGCAATTACCATCTAAAGATAATTATGTCAGTACACAACCGAATGAATCCTGTGTAATCGACCATCATACAGTAGGTCGGACGTATCCCATCGTCGGACACAATGGGTCCGACATAATCGGCCGTCGGACACAATGGGTCCGACATAATCGGCCGTCGGACACAATGGGTCCGACATAATCGGCCGTCGGACACAATGGGTCGGACATATTCGCCGTCAGACATATGGGTCGGACATAATCGGCCGTCGGACACAATGGGTCAGACATAATCGGCCGTCGGACACAATGGGTCAGACATAATCGGTCGTCGGACATAATGGGTCGGACGTAATCGACCAAACGGACATAATGGGCGTGAACATACGTTTCACAGGAATTTTATGGCCCCTTTAAAAGCGGTGTGGAGGGGGGGGGGGGGGGCTATTAAACATCATTTGACGCATGAGGCGTTTCCCCCCCCCCCCCATTTTTATCACTATTCTCATTCATATCACTACTCTCATTCATATTCCACAAATCCATAGAGGAAAAGGAGATGAGTTGGACTTTATAGTCATTTATATTTTGTCCATTTGAGCTAAGCCAGTTTTGGTCAGTAATATATCAATTACGGTGACGTTTATACCTTTTTGGCAATACCCACGTGCATCATTGACAGCGACAGCGCCCTCTATAGTGTGTGTTTGTCAGCTTAACGGTTCTGCCTGCTGGACCTATAAAGTTCCAAGTACTAAGTAAATTGTCACCGATCTATTTTTTACACATGTGCTCCAATAATTAACGCATCAAGCCTCAATAAATTTGCAAAAGTCGACACAAGATTGACAAACTATGCGTTACGTGTCATCGTTTGCTTTTGCAGTTAGCTGTATTCATTCTGGTGACACCCCGTTCAGTATGCGTTTGCATTCATAGAGAGGAGGGGACAGCATCTTAATTACTAATCCAAACATTTTTCTTGTTCATAATTATATTCACAAAATACATGTACATTGTTTATTAAAATAATATCGCATCAGTGTTAGAGTTGTATAAAATCACTCTACAAACAGGTTTTTTTTTGGGGGGGGGGAGTTTTAGTAATTTTAACTCGAAAAAGCAACATAAATATACCAATTTTTTTTTTCAGATTTGGCCGCTACCGTTTACATTTGTCCTATTTAAATATATTTCAAAAAACCTACATTTTAATGATTATTCTTACCCAGTTCTTCAAAAGCTGGCCAACTTCACTTTGAGGAAAACGATGAGAATCACAAGACATTCGCGTTTGTTGAGTTACAAACGCAGGGTGATCGGACAGGCAACTAATTCATTGGACATTGCCCAGTTTAGTTGTGAATATTTTTTGTCAGAGCAGAAACAAATCACAAAATTCAGCCCTTTCCAGTGGAACCATTTGTTTTAATTAAAAATATATGCGTCCTTTTGCATTTGATCAATTTCAGTATAAATTTGATTTGCACATACACGCTATTTCCGGTTTGATGACATCATCTGTTGAAATGTGCAAATACAAGAATGATTTATAATATAGTTGTATTTCAACAGGGTAGCCTTTTCAGTTATTTGAACTGCTATTCTTAAGGGCCCTGATTACATTAAAATAAGTTATTAAATGACACCAATAAAAACATGAAACAAAACCAAAATTTTTAATTAATAAAATGACAATATTAAAAGAGTTTTTAAAAATATATAAATATATAAAAATCTAAAATTTACGTAAGTAACAGGACCAAATCTATCAGCACAAAGAAAAGAAAATTGTTATAATTTAACATGAATAAATAAAAATAATAATAAAAAACAAACAAAATTAACAAACAAACACCCAAACAAGCACAATGAAGTTAAGAGATAAAAGCAAGAAAAGAAATATGAATATTTAAAAAATAGCAACCACATAATACATTAAAATACATAAATTAAGAAAAAACCCAATTTCCTAATGAAGGGATGAATATTAAGAACACGTCCAACAAAAAAAATTTAAAATAAGATAAGATAAAATAAACAAGCAAGATACAAAAACAACCGAAAACTATGCCATAACATAAGTAGAGATATAGCCATCACGATCAGGTATGCATGGAAAATATCAAAAACAGGACAAAGGATGATTTTTAAATGAATGAATAAGGACTGAAACAGTTAAAGACAATAATCAAACAAACTAAACTAAAATGACACTAAAGGAGAAGTAATTGAAAATCATGCATAAATTAAAAGGATATGTAAGAATAAAAATATAAACAAATAAAACCAACAAAACTGACTGAAATTAAAATTGTTAACAATAATCAAACAAACTAAACTAAAATGACACTAAAAGAGAAGTAATTGAAAATCATGCATAAAAATGTGTAATTAAAGGGATATGTAAGAATAAAAATATAAACAAATAAAACCAACAAAACTGACTGAAATTAAAATTGAAAAACAATAATTCGATAACAGAGAGATAAGAGGGACAAAAGTGTTACGGTTCAAGTAATAAGAGAACTTTTGAACTTGGATAGGGACTCGGCCTGTCTCTGTGAAATTCATAGAGGTTCAACTGTATTTTACAAGACTCGGGAGATGACGTCATAATGCCAATTTTTGTGTTTGGCATTTCTCACTGATCATTATTTTGCATAGTAAAAGGCTTCCGTTTCGAGTTATATTCAATTCTCACTGCACTTCAGGTAACACCGGAAGTAATGGTCAAATGGCTCTGTGCCCGGGAATCTAAAATACCGGTATTGCCTGAGGCAATGCCTACCACATTACAAACAATAAGAGGGGTTCATTCATTTGACAGTTATTACTTAAAGTCATTTTTCAAATTGTGACCTTAAATCGCTTGTAATTTGATACTCGATGATGACGTGACATAATGTTTCACATCTTCAGACACGGGTTGAAGTTCACACCTGGTTTTATCTTCATCCCCTGACACATTTCGAAGAAATTGGGTTTGTTTTGATTTTGAGGCTTCCGTTGGCATTTTGAATTCATCTTGGACCTTCCGGTTACCCCGGAAGTTAAGATCAAGCGATTCACGTACACAACAAATATGTTGATGAGGATTATGGTCCCATCGTTATTTTGTTCATTGATTATCAACGAACAAACATGGTAACTTTTAAAAACTAAAATCGCTTGTAATTTGACACCTAATGACGTCATAATAACGTCAGGGTAATATGCACATCTTGATATCAGCGTTGATATACGTGTATGTTCGAAGCTTTAAGTTTATGCCATACATCGTTTAGAAGAAAAGTTGCAGAGAATTATTGTTCGAAAAGGAAGGAAAAAAGAAGATTTACAAACGATTTCAGAATAGTGATAGGATTGTGCCCGATCACCCAATAAGGGTTTTGGCTCAGGTAATATTCAGCATCCAGAGTCCAACTTAAAAACAATGTTTAAAACCGGCCAAGCACACATTCATGCCCTTATTATTGTGCATTATTACGTCCATTCCTACTCAGCAACAATCCTCTCAAGGCAAGTTTTGGCAAGGTTTGGTAGACCTTTATGCAAAATATCAAGCCAGCAGATAATATGAACAGATCGTCTCATGTGATTATTACAGTGCCACAAAACAAAGTTTTAAGTGACTAAGTGAGTTGCAGAAATTGAAAACAAGATAACCAAATGGTTTGCGGTTTCAAAAACCAATTTTACCGGCTACCCTAGACATCAACCCGACAACTTTGGCCTGCACGAGAGCAATGCACATGGACATGACAGACAAACCTACAATGGTGTACACCAGGCAACCAAAGAAAGAGGGGATGTCCATGTAATGTTTGACAGGCACAAAGTCACCGAAACCTATGGTTGTTAAAGTTATGAAAGTGAAGTACAGCGCCTCGCCGTAGTACCAGCCTTCGACGTAGGCGATCATAAGAGCACCTATGAAGGTGTACATGAGCAAGATGGCCACTACAAGGACAACCGGCACGTGGCGTTGCTCCGAGCCTGTGTCTTCCCTATTGTCTGTTCCTTTCACAGCGATGCTGTCCGGACTAGTCCTCGGACTGCTCGGAGTCTTCTTTTCCTCCTCACGGGTTTCGCCGTCTGGAGCGAATGCCAGGTTCGTATTCCCCGACAAGGTGTTGATCTTGCTACTCTTCGCCAGTTGGTCCAGCTCCGCCTGCTGCGCTGCCTCCACGTCCATAGAGCTCCGCCTGGAGTTGGGCTGGCTGCCCCTGACCGGGTCAGCCGAGTCCTTGAAGACGCCTAGGGAAAATCGCATCTCCATGATGTCACCCCTCTCCTCAACATGATCGTAGGCACTGGAAGCTCGAGCGTCCGTCGACCGAGTAGAAAGTCCATTCTGGTGATGGAGGGGCTCCCTCATGGCATTGCCCAAGTCCTGCGATTGGTTGACGGGTCGCGGTGACCTCCGGTCCTGCCTGCTACACTGGCATTTACCTGCTAGTAGGACGACTAAGCGAGCCAGGATGCCTCCGATGTCAGCCAGGAAGGTCAGGGTGAGAGGTATCCCAATCAGGGAGTAGATGACGATGACAACACGACCCCAAGCAGTCACCGGTACGGCATCACCGTAGCCTGTACGTGTAAGAAACGAACAGCTTGATTAACTTTGAGTTTCGGGTGTTGCTACATCAGAGGAGGGCGCACTTCAACTTACATGTAACTAAACCACTGAACAATAATTGAGAAACTGAATAAGAGATTAACAGGATGGCCACGAGCGTTTGCTAAGCACAAGAAAATACGTTTTAACGGGGGCGGCGGGCCGGGGTTAGCACCACGATAAGAATTGAAAAAAATATATATATATACATAGGGGCCTACATCTTCGTTAGGAATAATACAAAAATTGGAGACGGCGTCCTTTTTTTTCCCTTAGTATTAGCCACCTAAGAAATCGTCGTCTGAATAGATGATATCAAGATAATATTATACTCTCCCATCCTGAAAATAAATGTTTTCAATGACATTGAAAGAGAGAGACTTTTTGCAACAAAAATCACAGAATTTAGAGGCCATGAGATATACAAATGCACTATAAGGCCTATGTCCGTGTCAATCTTGTCAGCCATGTTTTCGACAAGGTCTAATTACTTCGCTGTCTATGCAATTATCACAGTACCGGTCAGCAATGCGAGATTTGTTGCGCTTGTGAAATATTTTCTTTGTGTAACTATTTAATAGTTGTCTAAACGTGTCTTCGTCTGATTACATTGCTATATTTAGTTCTCATACAATTTTCAACCCGGTCTACGGAGTGCTTTATCAGTGACCGCTTTTCCAAATGCATGTACCAGCGTAAATTAATGATGGAAGCTCACTGAATGGCCACCTGTCTCTCAACCCATAATTATTGTCTATCAAAAATCCAGAGCGTTGAGCACACACCAAAAACAAACGGAAAAAAACAAACAAACCCGGGTCAGGTAAATTAATGTCACGAATATGCCTGCAAATTTTAAATTTAAAAACCCTGGAAGATTCTTGAAATAAATTTAATAATTTGTTTTATCTCATGCTATTTTTCAACAGTTGTTTACATTACACATTATTTTAATTACTCTCTCTTAGTTTCTTACCTTCCTTGTTTCGTCCAATTAAATTAACATTTCAGTTTCCAGTATTAATTCCTGCCTGTTCTCAGTTCTATTTTGGAATCATTGTTTGCTCAAAATTAATTGAACAAAATTTTCAGAGATTTCAGTATACGAAAATGTATCCACATGTAGCTTAGGCGAATAAACATCCATTAATTGGCTTTTCCGGAAAACGTCCGAAAACGTTTGTTTTTCTTCCCATTTTTGTTCTCCCTTTGCTTTTTGTTTCTTTCTTTCTGCTTTTTGTTCTTCCATCCGAGTCGATTACATATGAAATGTGTACATGTTTTTTTTCTGACGGCCACTTTTGACGTAAACCTTAACAGTCATAATCCAATAAAACTTTACATAAACAAAGACCCCATTGTAAAGTCGTGTATATTGATGTGATGTCATCATGGGTCACGTGACGTCATCTCAACGATGCATAACTCAAATGTCTTATATCTAGAGAACGACATGTCCGATTGGGTTCAAACTGTGTAGACAGGAATGTTATAGATGAAAAAAAAGTGTGGTCATTAAAACGTCATCAGTTGTCAAGTTGCATTTCATTGAAGGCGTATTTTTTAAGCCCTATATCTATATAACTACGGGTGCGATCGTATTCACAGACAGGGATGTGTTATAGATGAAAATTGAGATGACGTCATTTTTTAAATGGATTTGTCAGCATACCTTTACAACAGAAATTTATTACAATAATATCAGGTGACACGGAAAACGAATCCGTACATCCGGAAAAAAAACCTGTGTTCTGTTTCACAGCAGACACAATTCTAGTCATAGCTTATGTTTTTGACCAGTACATTATACTATAGCATATAGAGATTAAAAAACTTGTACGTTAGTGCCCATATGTCAAAACACACATGGCTTTGTACGTATATAGCCTTCGGGACACGCCTTCATGACGAGGCACACATCGAAGACTATACAATAGTATCATCGGGCTCCCAATAACAAAATTGGTTGTTTGCTCAAACACAGAATGTGGGTATAAGAACGACCGCTGTGTTCATATACATGTACTGAGCAAATAATTGCTCAGTCGTTGTAATTAAAATGAGGAAGTTGCACTGAAGCGTTGAGGACACATCTCCCAGCAGACATAAACAATGATGTTCCGTTGGATAGTGAATCGTCTTGCATTTTTTTTCTAATTATGGAAAGGTTTAGAAAAAATAAAACAGGCATTTTTTAGTATTTCGAGAAGAGTAGAATTTTAACATTTCAATTTGTAAATAATAACAATTATGTTCTCAAAAAATTTCGATGGGTAAAAGAACAAAAATCTGAATGCTTCTGAAATAATATGACCCCAAGCTCTCACAACTAAAAACCCCTAAAATCCTACGAAGCAATCATATATACGGTAACTAATGTGCTTTGTTGATATGATGTATACTTGGTTCAAGACGCATGGCTTTGTTTTTTCCCTATATTGCACCCGGTTCCATCTCTGACAACGGATGGGCTGGGTGTTTCCTTCCTTTGTTATTTGGGTAGGACTGAAATTACGAATTTCCGAATGTTAAATGTGTATGTAGGCCTAACTGGTGTGTCTAATGTAACTTTAAAAATGTATTTGTCTTTTTTGGGTGGGTTTAATTGTTTGAATGTATCCTTTTCACTCCATGTAATTGTGCAATGCCAGCCCTGTGGCTGCCTGTTCAGTGTTTTAATAAACCAGAAAAATAATAATAAAAAACCTGCAACCGCTCCATTAAATGGACTTGAAGCCTTTCACGGTCAAGGTACGGTAGTAATAACATAAAACGACCCGCACGTTGAATAGTGGTTACCATTTGTTATTGACTATACAATTTCTTTTCAACAAATCCATTAGCACTCAACCTGTCCGTGCTTGCGACATGTAGTGATAATACAGATGTATCATATATAGAGATGTACATGTACATGCTTGTCAATACATCGTACCAGATTCCCGTTGAGTCTGAAGGACATTTTTTTTTAAAAACACAGTATGGTTTCTACGCATTTCAAAGAGCATTCTTCGCTTTTTATATTTCTCTCTATATGGGCACTATGCGGGCAAAACATTGAAACATATTAGTTTTCACCGTGATGCAAGTTTTATGATTTTATGGGCTCGTAACTCGTTGGGATGTGTCGCATGTCGTTCATTGGTGTCAGTTCAGTGTGTGCCCTCTTGAACTCAAATGTTTGTGTGTTTGTGGAAGTTTATATTCCTGAACAGGATCTCAAACAATTTGAAACCAACACTTATACCCAACTTCCTGGTGTACATTATTAAGCAAACAGCATTAAATGTCTACGACAAAAAAATGTGAGCAGTTATTTCCTTGTCGACCTAGGGGCTTATCCGAATTACTTGGCTACGGAAGGCTTCGCTGATGCCCATAGAGTAGACACGGATGGTATCGCTGGTCGTAGCCGAGTTATTAGGAGTGGCCTATGGTCAGTTTCCACCATTAAAGGGAATGTACAACATTTGCTTTTGCTGCAATTTCCAGAAATAAATGGATTTGGACTTGCTTCACGTTTTGGGTTCGGAGATGCTAGAAAATCAAAGAAAACCAACAAAGTTCTTGTAGTCTGGTTCAGAGCAAATTATAGACTTTGGGGAATTGTTAGGTCAGAGAATCAGTCCAGCAGGCTCGTACCATTTCACAGGTGTGTAAACAATTGCAAAGAAAATGCGGAATAACTAAACAATGAACAGTTAGGAGCAGTTTTTGAAAAAAAAACCAGTTTTTTTCCAACGCTGATCGGCCGACCAGCGTTGGAAAATACAAGTTTTCTTGAAAATGTCGGCACACTAGGAGCCAAGATTTTACAGGATGCTTTGGACTGTCATTTCCTAACAATCCAGTAAGATATTTCGTGAAAATTTGATCATTTCGTTTTTTAATGTTTGCAAATGTTGTATTCCCTTAACGCCTATTATTTCTCAACAGTTGGAGTTGGGCGTTGTGTTCGAAAGCCATTGGAACGCGGCTTCATTTAGGTTTTAGAGCCTCGTCGTTCACTTTATCTGATGGGTTGTTTGAGTGGCAGATAATACGGTTTAGAGATTCTCACACGAACTGGTCTTGATGTGCTGGTTCTAAGTCATTCATGGCAAGTTGTTTTTCATGTGGTAAGATGGATGGTTTGATGCTCAGTAAATAAGCATAATTTATTCATTAATAATGCTTCAAATCAAACTTATTTTTGTTACCCTACGCGCTAAACGGCTAATATTGCGAGAATAGCGCCTGCATGCATGTATCAAGAAACCACGCGTTCTTTAAACACACTATTCCAAGTTTAATAGAATTAAAAATTGTGAAGTAAAATTTGCAATCCAAGTTGTTTCTTCAGAGGCTGAGACAAAAGTGACTGGCCAGCAACTTTTCCATCCCGCCTAAACTTTCTACTTCTAGAATGTAAAGAACCAACCCTACGTCTCATTGGCCCATAGCCAGGCCTTGCCAAGTGTCACAGAACAAGAATTCTTATTGGTTGGTTGCCCCTCCAAGCCTTCTCAGCAATTGTTAAAATTCGTGGCTGTTGATCGGCTCTTCTCCTGTTTACAGGATCTCACTTTTGTCACAAATTTGTCAATAGGGTTTCATGTACAAAGTTCTTCATACGAAAGTACAGTATGAAATGCATTCACAGTGATCGAGATGTGTGTGCATGGAGTTAGCCTACATTTTGCACAACACAAAATATATAACCAACAGGAGAAGATCAATGGAAATTTTGCTGCTTATAAATAATTTGATCATTTAGTGATAAAATTGATTAATAGTCAGTGGAATAACAACCGGGGTGGGGGACACAACGTACGCTCTTATGAAACTTATTTCTCTTGGCGTCTCATCATAGATTCCTACTCTTTATTAAGCCAAATCATGAACCACACCAACGGACATTTAGGTGACACTGATTATAAACACTGAAATTCACAAAAGTGGTTTCGTGTTTCCTTGCACTAAAAATCCTCAATTCACAAAACGCTACGTCAAATGTTATGTGCGTGGGTGTGTGGGATAGAGTGTTTGTAATAATCAGCCAGATAGTTTTGATTACCATGGCAACCTGCTTCTATGTATACACAAGACTGGGCAAGCGAAGGACGAGACAGAAATATTCTTGATGATAAATAAGTGCTTCGTATAAATAAATTATACCAAGGAGTTAGTGGCAGAATATGCAAAGCAATGACGTCACTGCACGCAGCCACAAGTAATTTAGTCAGAGTGAAGAGACATGTCTGCACAACTATAAGTGGATCAGTTGAAAATTACAACTGACAAACATGTTTCTTTATACAAAACAAGCATTCAAAAAAGTTCAAGTATAAGATTCCAACTGAGGCAACGCGATTCACACAGAGGTAAACATGAAGAAAATAAAACACATACAATTATTGTTTCCCAGACTGACACACAATGTAAATGACGCTTGATAAATGTTGGTATTAAATCAAGTCAGGCGGCTGCATGCTGGACGGCTTCCTACCGAGTTCCGGCCTCGTCTTACAATTCATCCAACATGATTGTCATCTTGACAATGTAGCAATCAGGCCTGATGGAACGACCAATCCTCCAGAGTAACAGGAGGCACAACATTATCGTGAGCTACTACTTGCCTCCGTCTGTGCAGCAGTGTCGTATAATTATGATGGTCGGGGATCTTTTCCAAGCAACAAAAACAAACAGGGTTGGCAGACAAGCTCTTTTAGTTTAATCATAAACTTATACATTTTAGAGACGGGCGGGCCTAGGCTCCGGTCTAGAAGGGCTTGGCAAGCTCCACTTATATTAAAAAGATGATCAAAGGATACTGATCGAAACATCCAGTGTCCGCAACGCCAGTTAGAACCATCTTCTAAAAATATCCATACGTAAACCCTTTACATGGTTCAAACATTCAAGAGAACATGGGCAGGGTTCCACAATATTGGTTTTGCAATACCTTGAACTTAACGGGCATGATAGCAATTGTTGATGGGATTTTCTCTGCCAAAGTAAGCTAAAAAAAATGTATAGTTAAATTTGCACCAGTAATTAAATTGCAATAATGCAGTTGCCAAATTAATGACAATCTGAAGCGTATTATAACCATTTATTTGGGTAGAAACATCACTGATAAGGGATATCCGATGTGTCAGCGCATGGACGATATATTCCAGTATTTGACACAAAATAATAACAAAAGATGAACCAGTGATAGGGTGTGAAGGACGACGCAGCAGGTGGTCTTTGTTATTGCATTTTTGATGAACCATCGATCATTATGCATTCTCCATATGCCGGCAATGATTAACCTTGCTAACAAACCTGTATTTTGTTTGCAGTATTTAAACTTGACAAGATACAACAGAACGCAGACTGGGAACATGACTGAACATATACAACATGCAAACAATCAGGCAAACATTAAATCTCATGCACTTTATCAGACACAATTTTTAAAACCTTTCCTCAGACAAACCTGGCATTTTCAATATTTCACTGGCAATTCTTGAGGTCTCCGTTTAATTTTTAAGGAGAGTATTATTCAACTTTTGCGCTTTATATAGAAAGTGATTAAAAATGTTGAACTTAACGTTTTACTGATGTCCCCCTCTTTCAAAAGTTCAACTGTAAAAGAAGATATTTTAATGTATAAAAGAAAAGAGGAGAGAAATAAAAACATCAAAATACAAAAATGTATAGGGTCTGCATGTGCTTACCAATTGTTGCAATACTCGTTGCACAGAACAGTACACTACCAGTATAAGTCCAGTCGACCCGGCTCAAGTGGGTGAGGTCGTCAAGGTACGGGTCCTCAACCAGCGCCGTATACTCCTCCCAGATGTCGGTCAGGTTTGCCACCGTCACCCGTTGGCCCTTCGTCAGGTTACGGACGGCCCCGTCGATCTGCGCCTTAAGCACCTCGTATCGGTCCACCTCCCGAGAGAAGTCCGGCTGGCTGCCTCCTTCTATAGCCAGGAAGATCCAACCTCCGATGCCCAGGTAGAAGAGGTAGGCCGCAAGCAATACTAAGTGGGGCCAAGAGATGCGGAGGCCACGGGCGAAAAACCTTCGCGACTTGGCTCTGGCTCCGGAGTCTGCATACTGGCCACGCGTTCACTTTACATAATCCTCACTCCGATAATCCTCGCTCGTATCCTTATGGATACTTTTTGACTCATCTGAGGTTATCTGACAACTAACTACATTAAGAATATTTTACATAGCTCATTCAACCATATCTAGAGTTAGGTCCTTGCTCTATGGTTTAAATGATGTTCCTTCGACTGTTCCAAAACAACGTATGGATGAGCACAGGTTAAGCAATGACATTTACTCCAGCTTTTCAAAACATGCGAACCCGCTCTGTTATCAAGACGTACACCATTACAACTTCCGCATTGTCATCATATGTTAATCATCTGGCATGAAACTCGCACGCAGCCACTTAGTACGGAAATGACAGTTCTCTTTTCTGCAGCCGGTCAGGATTGGACAAAAACGGTGTGAAAAGTCGTCCATGTAAACACATAGCCTACGTGCCGGTTTGGTGTGTTGTTGATGTGAGGGCGATCAAACTGTATTCCAGTGGTCCGTGGCTGCAGAATAATGCGTCAGTACAGGTTACGCATCCATAAACCACAAAAATCGATACAGCATGCATGCAGTTTTGATGTACATGTACTTAACCCCTCAATGCTTCGGGATACTTCTAGCCATCGAAGTTGGTTTTGAGCACCGTTAACTTTAATACTACGTACTTTTCTGTGTTTATTTAAATACAAAGAGTGGTTTTGTGACACAAAAATAGCTTAGTCATGTCGAGCGTAACATGCATGGGCGGCCTACAGCACAGGCAAGGACAGGTTTCTTTTCATATTCTAAATCGGGTACAGTGCACCACGAAATGACGTATCGTCTATGGACTGTGCACACATACGTGACTAGCTAGCTAGCACTTCGCGGATGCGACCGACGAACACAAAAAAGTACACTGGCATTCTTTGATTCACGCACGACGCACGGCGTTAAAATGTAAACAAGAGTGATATGCCATGAAATGCGGCTTCGCCACACGGAAATTATTATGTCACGTATAGGCGATAGTAGCGAGGCAGTTCGCCAAAACTTCACTTCTTCAATCGAAGTTGATGAAAATTGTTTAGTCGGCCCAACGCATTCGAAATTTAGCTTATCAAGAATTAGACAAAAACATTGAGGAATTGACACAAAATATAACGTGTATGCTGTCACAGAGTGGGAACCGAAAAATATGCTAAATTTAATAAAGTGTATATCCGACGAAAGTCTTGTTTAAAAAAAATATAAATACAAATGTAAGTCCAAAAAATTAGCAAGTATGAGAGATTTTTGTATAGGTATACCATAAATTATTTTGTTTCTGTCATATCACCGAATGATTATTTCGATCTGAATGCCGCTGTACCTGACGCAGGATATCTCGCCGTTCGACAGCACTAAAATTAAGTATAGATCCATGCTTAATAGATTATTATATGTTTAAAGCTCGTTTGTATACCGTCTGAACATGGAAGAATGTTTTTATTCCTCCATGATCTGAAGCGACAGCCGGGGGGGGGGGGGTACTTGTTTCCCAGCAGTAAATGACGTTACAAAATAATTATGAGCTTCTTATTACATTCCACTTTACACGAACTGTCCAACTGTAATCCTTTCGTGGCAAACACGTAATGTCAGTGGCCTAAAATGACGTAATTCTGAGCAAAGTTCTCCAATGTCTTAATTACCAGCAAAAATTGCCGCGTGATGAACATTGTTTGCGACCGAGTGTTAACCGAAACTTTCCCTTAATGGAAACCTAAGTCCGTAACTGTCCTGTAACTGTCCGTAACTGTCCTGTACTATATATAGTGATAATAATCGTCGGATTTGAACAGCGCCCTCTTTGAAAATGGTACGAAACACCCCCCCCCCCCATTGATTTTCGGATGCCAAGTGTCCGGAAAAAAAATTCCCTCACCCCGAGTTATGTCAAGAATCCTTGAAATTAAACAAAAAACCCGTCCGTGTGAGAACGCACAATTAAAATCAGTGACCCGTAGTTTATTAAGTTCAGAGTACGTCATAGATGGCCTTGGTAACCAAAAGTTGAGCTATTAAGTAAAACTTGAAATATCAAATTCAATAAGATTGATAAGTATTTCTAATTTATATCTTAAAGAGAATACGGCTTTGATAACAACAACTTGGGCTGCAAACTAATAATCAAAACGCCATGGCTATTAGTTCACTGTTCATTTTGACAACCGACCAACCGCATGCTACAAATGAAACAGGGTAAATTTGACAAGGTGCCCACCGATTTGGTTATTGATTTCAGAAGTTCATTAACATCTAGCGATTTTAATATCTTAACCAATACCGCTTTGTATGTATTTGTTTGAGCAGCCCTGAATACAGGATCTCGAATCACTGAACAACATTTCTTTCCTTTTTGGGGTTTTGATTCTCTATAACAAAATAATCACCATGGTGAGCATCAGGTCAGACGATCGCAGTAGAAATGACACTTCTTTCTTCTTATACGAAGCAAGCGACACCGAAAATGTCTCCACTTGAATTTCACACACATTTACAATATAGTGCTATGAAGTGGTGAGTTAATTATTTGACGTTGAAGTCTACAAGGCACTACATGTACTTATTACAGACAACCCGTATTCTTATTGCTATGTCGTTTATATTACATGGAAAAGTTCGCATGAAAGATAGATTATTATGACCGTGTTCATTTTCTCCAGCCATTCTCAGTAAATATTTTTGCTAGGGGGTTGAAAATATGCCGGGGGGGGGGGGACGAAAATCACAATATTTTCTGACCACTGGACTGAAACTTTATAGAGCAGAACCTCCGTTTTTTCGGCATGTCATGGTCTCAAAGTGGAGAATGAGAATCCACTACTTGACGGAGATGCCTCAAGGATACTTCCGGGAATTGAAGTGACACTGGTAATCGATTTTTCATGCAGGACATATCGACACGGAAATAATGTTTCAGGCCATGCTGTAAGCACCTGCAAGGTTCTCATAGGTAATTAATAGTTTCATAACCTGCTGTTTGCGGCCAACTGTCCGCTGTGACCGTTGTGCATGAAGTATATTGGTTACACACTCATGAGTGTAGCAAAGATTCTTTTGAATCGGGGTGGTATTTTGAAATCGAAGCATGAGGTACTATTTCTAAGGATAGATCATACTTCCATCGTTCCTTCCATTCGCACTGACCGACCATCACGCAGTAAGTACGAGTTGCTGTCATAATCAAGGGGGCCCAGGGGCGGCGGAACCGGGGGGGGGGGGGGGGGCACTTGCCCCCAAAATTTCCTCAGGCCAACAAAAGTGCCCCTCTCGCGGTCATAAATGTGCCCCCCCCCCCCCCGATGAAACAAAAGTGCCCTTCAAACGCACACAATGAAAGCATATGATCGCGCTACAAATAAAATCGTCTCCTCTCTTGTAATGGAACACTGCCCCTCAAAAACACAAGTTCCCCCTCTCGCATTAACAAGATTGTGCACCTTCGCGAGATGGAAAACTACCCCTCGAAAGCACAATTGTGTCAGTGCCCCGCATGCAACATTAAAATTGTACCTCTCTCATGGAAAGTGGCCTATAAAAAGTGCCCCTCCTCACGCGAATAGAATGATCACTGAGCTGGCCATCAAAAGCAAAAGTGCCCCACAGAGCATCTTAAATCCATTTTTACCCCCGTTCCTTAATCTCGCCCATGCTATGAATTTGTGGACCCACCTTTTGGGCACCAACGGAAGGTGCCCCTTTTTCTGGATAAGTGCCTCTTTCCCTCCCCCCCCCCCGTTTGAAAAGTGTTCCGCCGCCCCTGCAAGGGGCAACGGGGGCCATAGCTCTCCCCCCCCCCCCCCAAAAGAAAACAAACCCAATTGTTTCCTCAGAAAAAAATGGTTACTAGTGTTTAGAAATTGCCTCAGATCGCACCACAGAGCATCTTGAATCCACAAATTATTCGGGGCCAGTGGCGTATCCGGGGGGGGGGGGGGGGGCAGGGGCAGTTTTGAAGAGCGCCCCCATTTGGAAGATGGGTTACCATCACCTCCCCCCCCCCCCCCCGCTTTTTGATTTTACGGAGGGCAAGTGTCCTGAAAAAAAAAGAAAAAAAACATTTGTCTACATTTCGGCGCGGATGTGCGTTTGCCCCCCCCCCCCCCGACATCAAAAGCTGGATACGCTGCTGTTCGGGGCTCTTAAGCGGGCCCGAACCCACGCCCTAATTCTTTGGACCCACTTTTCGATGGGCCAAAATTGTTTTGTTTGCCCCCCCCCCCAAAAAAATGTGTTTTGGAGCCGCCCTTGTTCATCATAGCCTTGCCGGTGTCCAATCCCGTCGCCATGCCAACGTCATTGATTCGATGTGGCATTGTGTGTATAATAATTTTGTTTTACAACAGCTCTCAGTCTCATTGGTTTTGTACACGATCTGTAATCGTGTGTCCTCGATATTTACACCATAAACACGCAGACAAGTACAGTGTGTATTTGCCTTCAATCGGAGACACCCTATTGTCCCTCTTTTGTATGTACTCTTAACATTTTAGGAAAACCTCCATTATGTTTTGCACACGAATCAAAATTGGGAACCCTCAGTGGCGTATCTAGAGTGAGGGGGGGGGGGGGCAGAGGGGGTACGTTGCCCCCCCCCCTTCCTGGCGGATTTTTTTAGCAACAATTTTATTCAGCAATTATTTCAATAAATGGTTAGAGAGTTCTGACATCAATCCCCAAAAAATAAAACCCGCTCAAAAAACTATTATAATGCGCCGTGAAAATTGGCATATAATTTGCAGTATGTATAATAATTGTCAGTTTTGAAAAGCGCCCCCATTCGGAAGATGGGTAACAGCCCTCCCCCCCCCCCCCTTTGTTTTGATTTTATTGTCCGGATAAAAAAATGTCTACATTTCAGCACGGATGTGCGGTTCCCCCCCCCCCCCCCCATCAAAAGCTGGATCCGCTACTGGGAACCCTATTGTCCTCTATTGTTCAACGTCCCCTACTGAATGCAGAAACAAACTCAAACCCATACACGGATGTAAACA